TAACGTAATAAAACGTACACGTGTTTTCATTTGCGGTTTAATTGGGGATTTATCTAAAATCATTAAGGAAGAACATAATTGCGTTTAGATGTTACTGCTTACAGGATTGACCTCAGTAAGCTCCCAAGAGACTTAAGTAGGAAAGGCCCTCACGTTTCATTTATTTTATAAGGTTGAAGCTTGTGTACCGATTTTTTTAATAAAACACAAACTTTCCAGTGCTACACACAAGATATGGTTATCCATATCTGGTCGTCTAGACTTGTTTTTGTATTCGTAAATTAATAACGAAGTAAGAAAAGTTTATATTGATTACAATTTGATTAAAAAAGCATCTTGAAGGTTGTAAAACTAAGCTTGTAGTTTTAAATTCTTGACTTGTTTTTGATCGCTTTCGAACACCGCGGTATCGGCTTGTAGGTATACCATTACTCATGCGAATTAGATGTTTTTAGACATGTCGTGGTCGAAAGTGCCTTGGTGGTGCGTCAAAGGCATCGCATCTTTTAATTTGAAGAAATTTTAATCTTAAAACATAGTAAATTAAGAAAGACATATATGTAGAACACTTCTTCTTGATTTTTGCACAGAATTAGACGTATTTATTTATAACTTTATAATTAAGTACACATGAATTGAAGTAATTAAGTACATTGGAAACCTTTGTATTTGTAATGTTTAATACTGAGTAACGTCTAGTTTATATCTTGTAGTCAATTGCTTAACATACAATATTTGTGTTTAGTGAAGAGCTTGTATATTAGCTACACTATCACAGACTAGGTGCCATAACAATCTATCTTGCTATTGTCAGAATGTTCTCGATGTAATAAACGTACGTCAGTCAGATTCTATCCGGTATTTTATTTGGACGTGCCCGTTATTACAATATTATATGTAAAACAATTACTTCAAACAATGTTTTGTTTCATCCCAAAACCTTTGTACTTATTACGATTTTAAATTTGTGCTAGAGATGTTTGAACAACCAAAGACAGTTTCGAATTTCACAAATTAAAAAAAGTTGCAATATTTATTTCTCTTAAATTTTTTGTTATTGTTTTACTCACCTTTGGGGCAACACATTATGACCTCGGTATTTTCTTACTTACCTTCTTTCTTGGTATGTATCATATTACTGACAACTATGGATTCTATATACTAGGCAACAATATTTAAATACCTTTTGATATATTTACTATTCTAATTGTACAGATTCTAAATAAAAAATAGAATGTATTTTGCTGTACAATGTGGTCTCTCTTTAAACAGAATACAGGTAAGCGGTTGCCTCGCTGACGTCACAAGAACGTATTGGTTTGCCGCGATTAAATTCATCTCAAAGAAACACGCCCTACCGCTTTGTTTTGTGGAATCGCACTTTGTTCTTTCGTACATTTGTTTCACTATGTAAAGTTTGTGTTGCTTCACACTACCTATCTTCTACTACCTGTCTATCTACTACGACTATCTTCTTTCTACTCGCCGTCCTACATTCGTATCAAACAAACATCACTTGACGGGTAGCCATTGCTGATAATTATAATGAAATGATTCTGATTAACAAGAGGTATCATTTCATTTCGATATAACATTTCAGATATGACGTTTAATTTTCTAACAATGCTAACCGTTGTGTTCATAGGGTAGTCTTTTTCCTTGAAGTCAAATTTTAAGGCCGTTTTATTTCCATACATTTTTGTTCTAACTACAAGGAGTGTTCGTTTTCGCTGATTATACATAGATGTTTTATGTTTGACTCATAGGCAAGTAGTAGTACAGTGTTTAACTGAATTTTTATAATAAAGTCTATGCTTTTAAATCGATATAAAAAGCAAAGGTATGTATGGTTTAGTCTGGCATAGCAAGGTTGCCTGTCATGCAAATATACTGGCGCCATATTGCACTGAGACGTCGCCGTCCTTACAGAGGCACATATTTCGCATAATCGCACAAAATACAGCCTTATTATAATTTCATACCACGTTCGCCGCTCTGTACAACGTGCACTCTTTATATTACCATGACACGAAATGTATGTATATAACCTTTGCGTGCTGTTCGCGAAGTAACGTCTAAAACGCGATCAGAGATCATTGCAGTGTGTGCATATTTATAAGATGAAAAAATATGTTTGTATCAAGCCATGCCATCTGTTGACATGAAATAGTAATGGAATTTTGCAATTCTATGTTTTGGTGACTTATTTTTTGATATGATGAAGTTGTGATGCTTGAGGCTGCAGGTTTCAATTTAGATTAGTGCAAAACATTTACGGGTAGTATAGCAAGTATTTAAATTATGCCTATTTGCATTAGTTTCGGCGCCTCTATGTATTTATTTTAAATAGCATTGTCTTGTCAATGCCCAGAGTACTTGTTGGTAAAGAGATAGCATTAAATTCATTCATAGTTAAAAGAATTCTAAATTATTTGTTTGTAACACACTATGCATCAACGTTATAAATATAAAGAAATAGTGAAATTCCTGAGAATGAGAGAAAAGCTCAGAATGACAAGTACGATAGCTTTTACGTTCTCAAAGTCCTTGTCATAAAACCAGAAATATCGAGATTGTCGTGATAATTAAACGAAGTCCATCCGTAAGGGATAATTACAAGAGACATTTTTTACCTTCACCGTTATTAGGGTCGTTGTAGATGACAAGGGAGTTATCTACTTATTTTAGGGTTACAAAGGGGCTGTGTGAAAATATTCCCTAAGCTCTCTTGATCCATTTTTCTTGTCCCTACCTGTCACTATTTTTCAGGTAAATTTATGTAATTGACAAATATAAATGGTTTCTTGCGGAGGGTTGAATATTTATACGACTGTGAATTTCTGATTGGTACTCACAAAACCCTTACAATTAGAAAAGCTAGGAAGAACACTGATCTCTGGCAAAATAGAAAAAAAAACAAGTTTAAGATGTATTCAAAGAAGAGATAATTAGATTAATGTTTGGTCCCTTACCGGTGCTAAGTGAAGAGATTGATATTTTTAAAGTGTTCTGAAATCTCGTTACATTATTTTGTGATGAAAATCTTGAACCCACTTTCAAAATGATAAGTAGAAGATTGTTTCTTCTCATCGTCATCATTTATTATAAAAAGCTAAAAATAAGTGTTTTATAAATATAACGTATAATATAATCTGGTCGTGCTTTTCCCACAGTGACATGTAATATTTAAGGAAAATAAAACCTTAGTGTCTATGCAAAATGATATCAATTTCCATAAATTTAATGCCGAATGACATAAATTAGCATGCTCATTAGACAAAGCGTTCCAGTATGCGTGGTTTTAACAGCTGCGATGGCGCAGTATTTATTCAGAGACTGAAATGAAAAGCGGTATTTAGGCGAGAGTTCTAATAACAGCGATTATGCGATATACGCCTGAGAAACCCAAATGTATTCAAATTCATACTTATGCGTAGAAATTTATGTCGTGTAGGTATCTGTACGATGTATTATTATTTTTTCAGATAAGATTTTGTCTTTTAATGCCATCAGCGCGGTTTTATCTGTTAAAGTTTAATTTAGACAAAAATGTTACCAGGGACGTTCGGTTCTAGAAAAACCCACGACAGAGAGATCAAAAAAAACCCACGACAAGTTGCCGGAGAATTATCAAATTATGGGCCAAACTGAAATTGTTGTTTTCTTTTTCAGTGAATATATTTGAACTCAAACAAAAATAAACCGTTGAATCGATTTGGATTAAGTTAAGAATAGAGTTACCTACATAACAGTGTATAGAATAAAACATAAAAATATATCAGCCTATATTTTATTGGCATGGTTACAGAGCATATATAAACTTATATTTACAAAAAGGCACTGAAGCTACAGATAAAATTTGTGAGTGAAATACAAGTAAACAACATTTTGTGTTTTAAGATTGTCATTTTGATATTGTGTTTATATATTTCATCTTAAGTACATTTTTACATGCTTTATACATATGTAGACATACTTAAGAGAGTATTTCTACTTAGTTTTTTTTTATATTTGCACACGTAACAACAATCGATGACAATACTAATAAAGATTTTTGTTTTACTCTTTAATATGATTTTTTTTTATAGATCTTGCTGGTCCCTATAACTTTTGTATTATTGTTGTGGTTTTTAATAAGCGGTAATAATCAATCATAATGAGAGACGGGTCAATGGCTAGTTTTTTTTTAACTTATCACCATTATTTTTTTTTGTTTTCTATGATTGAATAAATAAATTGTTCCCTTTTTTTAAAGTTCTTCAAAACCTCTTAATGTTTGCTTTTGATATTGTAGTTCTGCGAACGTGAAATTACTTTAGGGATTGTTGCTATAAGCTCGTTATTAATGCAAACACTGGGACTTGTGACATATTTTGAAGTGTGATTTTAAGGGATATACGGCTTTTGTCGTCATATTGTAATGTTATTACTGTTATAGTATCATAACAAATGCGATATTCAATAGCGTCTGTTTTTTTAATGAAACTGACAAATTGATATTGAAAATAGGTATATAAACTAAAATAGGTAATATGTTGCAAAAGAGATAACTGAAACTAACATTAATAGAAGTACTTTTGGGGATTTTCCTTCAAGAAAGTGGTGGAATATCTTTAAAAAAATAGTAACATTGAACTGATACGACAATGCATAATATATTGGTTAGAAATGTATACTTTTACCACTACAACAATTTTAAAAGAAAATATACGAGAAGTTATATAGGTACAATATTATTTAAAAAACATTCCATTTTTTTTCAAGTTAAACCAACATTTGTTCTCTGTATACTCGTATAATTCTCCCAAAATTTGACCACACGATTAAGTGACACTCTGTATATTATACATTACAAACAGTGTCAATAAAATTAAAGTAAAGCAGCATTTGCAGAAACGCGTTACTTCTAACAGTACAATAAAGATGCTAATTTAACCGGTAACAGTCGTCCCGTTTAGCTAATTATCACGATTTGCAACACCGTCGTAATCACCAAACGATTATTGGCCGCACAACTCTTGGATTTCACTTTGAATGCCCGTCTTTATAACTTTTGCGGTTAGTAGAATTTGTTTGCTGACCTTATTGTACTCATTGAAGTTGTTAAACTGAAATTGTGGTATTTAATATAAGGGAAAAGGGTTACAGGAATCATTTTACAGAAGATTGGAATTAAGATGGTGATGTAGGGAGATGTTCATTTAAGAACGCTTGACCCAAAACGAATGATAAGGCGAGTGTTTTTATTCATTGATGACATCTTACTATTTGGCAGACGATGTGCTTGCCCAATTGTATTTCTGTTTAAAAACTGTTTTGCGTAAGTCTCAACTCCTGACTAGTCCCGTACTTTAGTACGGGACTATTCAGGTAGAGTTGAGAATAAGTGGAAAAATAATGGGTCCTTGTTTGTTTAGCTACTTCGTCTACCCATTAATAAAATAAATTTTGAAGATGAATTGATTTTAGATTACAAAGCTTATTTTTTCCAGCTGAGTTGTCTAATTTTATAGAGTTATTAGTCTATTCAGTCAATCAATAGGAAAAACCAAATATAACGTACCCAAAATAAAATAGTCGATTTTAAAAGCTATTATGGATATAATTCACATGTTAGATCAAATTATCCTCCCTCCGAGACAGATAGACATAACAACAAATATTCTAAACGGAGTTTGTACACGTATTTCTTTATTCGCTTTTATTTATTACATTATCACAATATATTAAGATTAATGTTCGTGTATTGCTTGCTATGAAATGAAAACTTGCACGCGTGATACAGTATTAGTGGTTACTATGTAATATGCATTGTCTTCGATAGATGTGCTGGATACATTCTGGTTTTTAGTTAAATGTATCATTAATATTACTTGGAAGGATTACAATAGTTTATGCACATTTTTTTTCTTACGATGTTTTGTGATACATTTTTTTTTCTTTCACTGTAAAAACACGCCCATAAATATCGCATAACAATGAAGGCAACAAAAGACATCATACAAGGTCGTAGGGAAATGGAGCGACACAAATCGTGTTGTCCAAACCGAGACTATAAATTTGTACGACGAGCGCGGGTAGTTCGTACGTCATGATGTTAAGGATAAAGTTTACCATATATACATATATTAACATAGATTGGTTAACTTTTATATTGAAGAAGGCTTTTGAATATAAAGTTGTTCGGCGAGATGACGCAAGTGAAACCATAAAGAAAGTCAAACTGCTGTCAAAGAACTATGAAATAAAGTTTTATTTGAAGAAATAGGTGAGTTATTGGATTATGAACTAATGACTAATATTTCAATGAGTAATGCCTCGGAAACGAATTGTTTATGAAAAAAAGATGTTGAAGAGAGAGACTGGTTTCAATATTTATTCTAAAAAATATTTAATGTTAATAGAAGTCAGAGAAAACAATATTTGAATAACGACAACATATTATTTTAAAATTTAATTTTTAGAATAGATTTATTAATGGAATATAGTTAAATATTCAAGAATTAAATAGATGAAAAAGTGTGTGTGTGTGCACACACACACACAGAAAATAAAATGGGTACGAGTTGGGTTTGACACCATTCCTTTGGGATTACCTCTTCAAGCAACAACATATTGAAGAATAGAGTCAGCCACTCATATCCGTCTTCTTTCAGTAGCTTACAAACATCCACTGGTATACCATCGGGGCCAACTGCTTTTACATTTTTCATACTTCTTACTGCCAATCTAATTTCATCTATACTAATCTCGTTCACCAGTCCGACATTCACATCCACATGCTTTAGCACTCCGCTCTATTAATTCTCTTCATTCATAAGTTTTTCAAAGTAAGTTTTCCATCGCTTTTTTATATCTTTATCTTTAACCAACACTCTCCCCTCTTCATCTTTTATACATCTCACATGCTTCAGGTCTTTTGCTCTTTCTTCCCTGTTCTTTGTAATGCGGTAGAGTTCTTTTTGACCTCTAGGTTCCTGTAGGTGTTTAAATATGTCATATTGAGCTTGAGCTCTGGCTACCGCTACCGCTTTTTTTGCCTTTTTCTTCCACTCTTTATATTCATTCATTTTGACTTCCTTCATTCTCACACAGACCTTTTCATTTTTCCACGCTTTAAAGGCATTCTTCTTTTCTTTTAGAGCTTTCTGTACCTCATCACTCCACCACCGTGTATCTCTTTCAATAATGCCTTTTCCTTTTGTTTCCCCAAGTACTTTTTTTTTGTCTCCAATACAATACAAGTAAAAAAAAGTAAAATTGGTTTTGATTTGATAATATTACATGACAGCAAATACATAAATGAACTTGTTCAAATTTATTTTAAATTAGCATCTTTGTTTAGTTGAAAGAGTAGTTTTCGACTAAATTGTGAGTTATCCGTAAATCAGTCAAGAAACACTATTAATTTCAGCATTTGTTGTAAGTGAAACTGTTTTACTGACATAGAAATACAAGTCAGTTATTTACTTATGTATCAGTATGATCGCGCGTATATACTAGAACAACCCCTCGAACATGCAAATACAAATAAAGTTGCAAGCATTCGTATAGTAAATCTCGTGACAGGTTACTCCTAGAATTCTGGTCGTAACAAGACATGCACGTCAAACTAGTAATAAGGGTTAAAGAAAGATTCTCACTTTATTCGTATCGAGCCATTTATTTCAAACAACCTAACCGCATTATTTGGAAAGTTCAAAACGAATTGGCACCCATTTGAACGTCTGGCTGATACAAAAGTGCCTTGAGATTGAAAATACCTTGTAGTCTAGTTTTATACTATGAATCAATAACATTTTCTCTTTAACAATGCGGTCACACAGCACTTTAATACCTCAAGAGCAAGTAAGTAGTGATTTTATGTGTTCTACTGCCATTGGCTAGGTTTTAGAGGGTGTTTTGTGTAGAGCGATAGTAAAAATAACATTTTATTTAAGGGTAGCAGTTCCTTGTGAAATTTGATCCGGGAGGAATTTTCCAACATCATGTCTTCTTCTATAAATTTCTAAATAATTCAACTAAATTGTACCATACATAACTGATTATGATACTTTTTTCAGGTGTTTGATTATTTTATGTAAATATTTTTTAAACACAAACTGCTGTAGTTTAAGCTGTAAAGCGCACAAATTTAGTTCAAAGTAAGTTCATTGAAAGGTACGAAAATAAATTACTTCGCGCAAAAATACTTTCTTTTACAGGCAGTGTTCTTGTTCTAAGAAATGTAAATAGTTTTATTTATGAAGCACACTGTTTGGGATTCTCCCGCGACCCCAAACTGTCCGCGATAGCGCGGAGCTGTACAAGAGAAGAATTTAGCCACTTACCAGTGAGGCTGATCCGTCTTCTGTTCGGAACCCTGTGATGTGTAAATGTGCCCTATCTAAATGTGTTGTATAAATATATTGATAAACTACGTTACCAGTGTAGTCCCAACCCGTATTTCCGTAACCAGCATCCGGTGCTCCACTGGTCACGGCCGTCTTCTCTAGTCCAGTCCAACTAGCCAATAACCGTAACACAAAAGAATACACCACTGCGACAATACGCGCATTCGAACAGAACAAATTATTTCCTTAATTTTGGTTTATGACACCGCGTGCATATCCGACCGATTTCAAAACTTTGTGTGAAGCGGTACGTCGCGCGAACCTATTGGAAATCAACTACCCGCTTTTTTAATATCCTACTTTTCTAAACATACCCCCGCTCCGGACAGAGGGATCTCAGTCCGCTAATCAACTGGCAAACGAGAGAGTGACGCCACCGCGCGTCGCAAAACGGAGTCCCCGACGTTAACCTCCGCATACCGTGGTATACCGTCTGCTCCCGGATACAGTTTAAGAATTCGCCCACGACGCCATTTCAACGAAGGCACATTAGGGTCCTTGATGAGAACCAGATCTCCCACCAGTGCGGGAGACGTCTTATCCGCCCATTTGATACGCTGCTGCAAGATATTCAAATATTCCAACGAAAACCGACGGTTAAAATCCTGGGCCATCTGTTGGAGCATTTGAAACCGTGACAACCGATTCCGAGGGACAGCGTCATAAGGATATTCCGGTAAAGCCGTTAGTGGTTGCCCAACGAGGAAATGACCCGGTGTCAAGACCTCCAAGTCATTAGGATCCGTCGATAGCGGACATAATGGCCTCGAATTTAGAGTTGCCTCAACTCTACAGAGGACCGTGACAAGCTCCTCAAAAGTAAGAATTGTTTCCCCAATGACACGCCGCATATGAGTCTTAGCTGACTTAGCTGTGGCCTCAAATATCCCTCCCCAGTGAGGGCAAAGAGGGGGGTCAAACTTCCAGGTGACTCCCCGTTTGGCCAACGTTTGACCGATTTCCCTGTCCTTATCCGTAAGGAACTGCTGCACCTCCTGTAGGTATCGATTAGCACCTTGATAGTTGGTGCCACAATCCGACCGTATGAGGCTGGGTAATCCCCGCCGTGACACAAAGCGCTCAAGCGCTGCGATAAACGCCTCAGTAGTAAGTGCCGAAACCAACTCTAAATGAACCGCTTTAGTAGAGAGACAGACGAACACACATAAATAAGATTTATAGATTTTCGCATTCCGTAAGTGTGAGGCCTTGACCATGAATGGGCCTGCGAAGTCTGTACCTACACCTTCGAAGGGTCGAGTGACCGACACTCGATCCGCCGGTAGATCACCCATAACCGGTTGCATTGTAGTTGCCCTCAGGCGGTAGCACGACATACACTTAAATATAATTGACCTGACGCACCGACGCGCAGACAAAATCCAAAATTCACGTTGTAAAATCGCGAGAAGGGCGTTACAACCTGCGTGTGAATTATTAATATGCCGATCCTGAACCAGAAGCCGAACCAAGTCACCATCTTTCGGTAACAGGAGAGGGTGACGTGCACCGTAAGGCAACTGAGAGTTTCGTAATCGTCCGCCAACTCGAAGTAAACCCGATTGATCAATGAAGGGATTCAGCCGTGAAATAGCTCCCTTCAATCGACCTAAAGACCCGATCGTCCTAATCTCGCTAGCAAATCGTGCTGCTTGAACTCGTCTCACCCAAAACATGAGGGAGACCCGACGTTCATCTGCCGATAGGCTAGGCGAAGTGTCTCTGACATCCACCTTGCGACAATTCCGGATGAATCGATGAATCCAGCCCGTGACTCCCAGAAGTTTATTGAGAGTGCTGTACCTAGCTAGAAGAGGATCTGAAGGCGTGGCCTCTGTTTCGACTGCCGCAATCCTAATGCCAGGCAGAGATTCAGTACCATGTAAAGTCGTAGGAGGCCACGTCGACACCGGATCCGCCAGCCACTTTGGACCCCACCAGAGGGAATGGTCTACCAAAGTGGGGGCATCACAACCCCGTGAAGCCACATCCGCCGGATTGAGTTCACCTGGAACGTGTCTCCAGATCAACTTCACCTCCGAAGCCTGGATCTGAGACACTCGATTGGCGACAAAGACTTCCAACCTGTGAGGAGAAGCCTGAAGCCAAGCCAAGACGATTTGGCTATCCGACCAAGCGTAAACCTCCGATAGTTCTATCAATTTGCCTAACGTAGAGATAACGTGATTCAGTAACCTAGTGAGTAAGGCAGCTCCCGAAAGTTCCAACTTAGGGATACTCAACCGAGTCCGTAGAGGAGCAACTTTACTCTTAGCCGTCACTAAGTGAACCGCCGTTGTACCATCCCGCTTTACGGTACGTAAATACACCACCGCGGCGTATCCTGACACCGAAGCATCGCAGAACCCGTGGAGCGATGCTTTGTACTTCCCTGATGGAAGAAAATGGCGTGGTATCGAGACCTGAGTAATGGACTCTAACCGATTCAGAAATCCCAGCCAATCGGTAAGGAGGTCCCCAGTAATAGGCTCATCCCAAGAGATCTCAGCGATCCACAATCGCTGTAAAAAGTACTTGGCCCAAAATATCACTGGCGCGATCCAACCGTTGGGATCGAAAATTGTGGCCACCGTAGAGAGTACCGAACGCTTAGTCCAGAGTTTCGCCATTACTGCCGTGAACCTAAATGAAAGGGTATCCGAAACCGGTTGATACTGCACCCCTAAGACGGAAGTACAGTGAGGACTACCCGAGTCCTCAAAAAGGAGTGGATCCTGCCTGTGATCTGCCGGAAGATCAGCCAATAAGCGTGGGCAGTTAGAGACCCATTTTCGTAACTCATAGCCAGCCGTGGCAAGAATTCCGATGAGCTCATCTCGAAGCAGTAGCGCCTCGTTCTCAGACGATGCCCCAGTGCATATGTCGTCTACATATAGATCTGTTTCCAAGATGGCTGCCGCTCTTGGAAATGTTGCTCGTTCCCGATGAGCCAACTCCATTAGGCTCCGAATGGCCATCCAAGGGCTAGACTTTAATCCGTAAGTATTTGTAGCCAGTTCGTAGACTAAAAGTGGCTGCGACGGATCTTCCCTCCAAAGAATCAATTGGTAGCGCCTATCATCCGGATGTATGATAGTTTGTCCAAACATCATACGAATATCCGTGGCAAAGACCACGACATGCCTACGGAAAGCCGTAATAAGATCCGAGATATTCCTTTGGAGCTTAGCACCTGAGTGTAGACATTGATTAAGAGAGACGCCGCTGGATGACGGAGCCGATCCGTCAAATACAACACGTATCTTCCCACTATCAGCTTTAAAAACAGCGTGGTGAGGAATAAAGTAATGTTCCACCGAGGAGTAATCCGTACGCGAGGGGAGCATATGTCCAAACTCCTTATATTCGCGCATGAATTGAACGTATTTTTCCCGAAATACAGAATCCCGTTTCATGCGGCGCTCCATCGACAACATACGTTTCTCCGCTAAGCCAAACGATTGACCGAGAGGTGGGTGTGAAGATAGGAATGGCAACCGTGCCATAAACCGCCCGGATGGTAAACGCACCAGAGTCCGTCTATAGTGACTCTCGCACTCCAAGTCTAGTGGGTCCGTGTGAGGGACCGAAGGAACCTCCTCCACTTTCCAAAACCTTTGTACAACCTCGGCCAGAGAAACGCCCGTAAATACCGTTTGATCATTACTCTGAATAAAAGGAAATGCTGGGCCCATAACTAAGTAACCAAAAACCGATGGGAAGGCAATCAGTCCATCCCGATGCAAAGCGATAATCGAACCCGAACATAACACCTGTCCTGCGACATCAGAACCGAGAAGCAGATCAACTAAACTCGGTTTCCAAAACTCGGGATCCGCAAGAGGCAGACCCGAGGCGGAGTTACCAACCTCCGCAGGAAGGAATACCAGTGGATGATTGCCAAGTACCTGGTCCATAACAAGAGCTGTAACCGAAATAGTGGGGGAAGAACCCGATTCCCCAGTAACCACAAAACTAACCTGACCATAAATTGATGTGACCCGATCACCACCAATTCCCCTTATGACATTAAAGTCTCGTGAGATCGATAGGCCTAACGTCCTCACCAGTCCAATAGTAATGATGCAGCCTTGAGCCCCAGTGTCCAGAAAGGCCCGCGCCTTAACTGTGGCTCCACCAGAGCCTCTTACCCAAAGTGACACTGTGGGGAGAATAACCGTTTTTGAAAAGGCTGCACCTGGTGAGGAGGCCGCAAATACCTATAATGCCTGAGAGGAACCGGTCCGAGCCGGAACTGAGGGGAGCCCCTGGTGGGGTGGCCCCTGGTGGGGTGGCCCCCACATCCACAAAGGAGCCTGAGGGGCCAACCCATGATGCCTTGCCGACACTTGATAATTACCTTGCTCAATCAAAGGGGCGCGCGACTGTATCAGCGGCTGTTCCGAACTTATTTGTGCTGCCCGAGCAGCGTAAGTTGCAGCTGAAATGTGGGACTCCACTTGATTCTCCGATGGTTGCGCATCAGCCCGGTGCTGGTTACCGATTTCTATGTTTGCTCTTGACGAACCATAATAATCTCGATGAGAGGAGGAGGGGGGACCCCCGCCCCTGCGAGCATCCCGATGCTCATTTTGGGTACCCGAGCCTCCGCGAGAATCCCTGTAGTTCTCGGGGGTATACCCGGCGAACTGATCCTGAGAGGCACCCCCACCCCTTGGTGCATCCTGATGCAACGGGGAGCGCCGACCTGATCGGCGATTCTTCTCCAGGGTGCGTCGACCTGACCGACGACCATTGGAGTTTCCACCACTACCACTCCCGAGTCGGCAAAGTATAGTGTGATGTGGCCCATTACACTGGGCACACGGTTTGAAGGCTTCGCAATCCGTGGCCAGATGTCTACCCAAACACACCCAGCAGTGACCTGTACGCCATACAAACTGGCGACGAACCCCAACGTTAGCTCGTCTGAAGTCCTCACAATTCAGGAGCGGGTGAGCCGCTCGGTCACAAAAGTAGCAGGGAGACAGCGCCTGGCTCGCTGCCATCGCAAATCCCTTAGGCGGAGCCTGAGCTCGCAATGATATCTGACCAGCCCCTCCCTTTCGGGGGTGGTCGATATATCTATCCGATCTACGCAAGTGGGGGGCATCCGGCCCTTCCACATTGTCCACCATCCTAGACTCCTCTTCCAGAAAGTGGAGTAGGTCCGTAAAGAGGGGCACATCCGTTGGTAACTTCCCTCTGAACTGGTGTTCAAACCTGAGCTTCAGCTCAGCCGGCAGCTTACCGAGCGTTATGTGAAGCAGTAAAAATGACCATTCCTTTACCGGGAACCCGAGCTTCCCTAACGCATTATATGCTACTGTAAGTGGGTTCAGTAGCCGAGCCCGAAGGTCGGTGACCCTGGTCACCTTTGGTAAGCCTAGTATACGACTTACATGAGCGTCACCTAATCGGCGCATATTTTGATACCGTTCCGTTAGCAGTGTTCGAGCCGTCTCGTAACTATCATTAGTGACATCCAAATGTGCCACCAAATCATGAGCCTCCCCGGATAATGCCGTTCTCAGATAGCCCATTTTCTGAGCTGCGCTTAAGTCCGAGCGTGCATGCACCAAGCTATCAAATAAATGAATGAACCCCATCCACTGCTCATATCCTCCCGAAAAATGGGGAAGATTGAGAGACGGGAGCCGGGCGACCAATCCCGGTTGCGACGTGGGCCCCCCCGTCTGGGCCACGCCAGAAGTACTATTCATTCGCGTATACGCTGCCCCAAACGTATCCGCGAGTTCCAAAGCCTGTTCGTAGTCCAGGTGGTAACGAGCGAACTTCGACCTGACCGTCTCGTCCTCCACCGAGGCTTCCGCCTCCAGGATTACCTGGTAAGCCTCCTCTAATTGTCCTAAGTAAACTTCCAGTTTTTCATGGCGATTACTCAGTTCAACCACCCTGTCCGGCCGACCGATCAAACCGGCAGCTGACTGTAACCATTTCAATACACGTGCTAATGTTGCCCTAGCTACCGTAGGCGACATCTCAAAATGAGCCGTAAGTGCACTCGTAACAAAGGAAACTAATTGTTTAAATAAAAAAAAATCCAATATAAAAATGAAACAATAAAATCCGTCTGTCCGAGGCGGTACCTAGAATTAACTAAATAATTTACACTACGTAACCCAAACCGTATCGTGTAAGCAACAACATAGAAAAAAAGTATAAATCTCGAAATCAGAAAAACATAACCTTTCCTTTTCCGAAGTCGGTTAAGAACAATACCCGTACATATATTACAAATATCACTTCTAGTAAATCTTAATCTATGCCAGACAGACTGTCACATCTGTTACTACGCTAATCTTTGTTCCGAACACAGAAATACCCACGTATTTGCACTTATAAATTTATTCCAGAAATATGTTGAAAAAAGTTTACCGCCAAACTAAAAATGTGAATGTGAAATTTTCAAATCTTAAAAATATACCAAAAATACACTATCCTATACACTAAACAAACTATCTTGATATACAGCCATTGCTAATATAACTTAAGAAACGTAACCGTAATAACCTATAATACCTAGTACCCGTTACAATATAATTTTAATTCTTGTGAATCGTAAACGTAGCCTAACCGAACCACGCTCTGCTACCAGAATGTTTGGGATTCTCCCGCGACCCCAAACTGTCCGCGATAGCGCGGAGCTGTACAAGAGAAGAATTTAGCCACTTACCAGTGAGGCTGATCCGTCTTCTGTTCGGAACCCTGTGATGTGTAAATGTGCCCTATCTAAATGTGTTGTATAAATATATTGATAAACTACGTTACCAGTGTAGTCCCAACCCGTATTTCCGTAACCAGCATCCGGTGCTCCACTGGTCACGGCCGTCTTCTCTAGTCCAGTCCAACTAGCCAATAACCGTAACACAAAAGAATACACCACTGCGACAATACGCGCATTCGAACAGAACAAATTATTTCCTTAATTTTGGTTTATGACACCGCGTGCATATCCGACCGATTTCAAAACTTTGTGTGAAGCGGTACGTCGCGCGAACCTATTGGAAATCAACTACCCGCTTTTTTAATATCCTACTTTTCTAAACACACACGAATTTAATTCAAAGCGAGTTGTATACAATTAATAGCACGTCTATCTTTAACGAACCCTCCGTTCTAGTTTAGGTAATACTAGAAATAGATTATCGGGTGAGACTAGAACTTAGATTGACAGGTTACTTATCTTTATTTTATTTTTAGAGATACGTGCGGGATTTTATTTTTGTAGGTACTGAGAATGGGGATTTTTAAAGTAGTGGTTTAATTCGTAGTACATATAATCGTGATTAAGAAGTAATGGTACTCTAAAAAAAACCTAAAGGCATTAAATTACTATTCGGTATTCTTTTTATTGCTTCAAAGGATTTTTTATGGTATTGGGACATACGAGCAGATAGGTCACCTTAGGTAACCTCTAGTGTTATATTGCAAGCAGACCACGTTTACCAACATTTATTTCAATTGGAAAGGACTGCCGAGTAGATTTTGACCACTAGTTACATTTTGTCATGCCGTTGTATTACTTGTAATTATTATTATTAAAAATAGATTTTTAAAACCAATTAAAACTCCAAGTTTCATACAGGGAGTGAACAAAACTTATCAG